CATCTAGGCAGCTGCTCACCTTCGTTTCTTGCTGAAGTTAAACACGGTGATCATCCATGACTGCTAATTTAGAAACTGATAACTTCAAAAGGGATTGAATAACAAATTTAGAAAACAATATCATCACATGGAGTTAGTAAGAGCAATCATAAAAAGGTTATAACAATTTACAGGTTACAACAATACCAACTGTTTGCATGATAAGTTAGTAAGAGAAACCACGAAAGGTATACACTCTTTTAACATTTTGCGAATGGAGAGACTTCAGTGCAAGTTAACGTGTCATATATTAGGAGGTATAACTAAGTATGTGGCACGCGTGTATACTTCCCTGCTTCACAATGTATGACCATTTTCTTCAGAAATTTAGTCATCTTAATCTTTAACCACTACATACTCCCTGTTTCACAATGGTTGGCCATTTTTCCATAAATTTAGTGATCTGTGCGCATGGTGGAAATGAGAAAATGGAGTAACAGCCTCTGCCATTTAGTATATTTTACAAGCCTACACAAAGAAATTAAAATAATTGAGCTCACATCTAAAGATGATGAGCAACTTGCAAGTGCATTGTAAATTTGTGATATGCATCTACTAATCTTTTTAGTGGCCATGCAGGCAACAAAGCGGTTATCCAGACATTCAGATGGTGTGATCGAGTAAGAATTACACTTGAAGCCGCACAAGGTTAATTTGGGAAAACCACCTGCCTCCCTGCATTTCATCACTTTTTCCCCAGTACATATCTAACATACCAAGCTACACTGAACATGCATTTTTTTACGTAGGTTTGGACTATTTGCACACAGGATGTGTACTACCAATAATTCACAGAGACCTGAAGTCACACAACATTCTTCTAGGACATGACATGGTTGCCAAGATCTCAGATTTCGGACTGTCCAAGTCCTATTTCGATGTTGCACAAAGTCACATATCTGTCTCAGCTGCTGGAACTATAGGCTACATTGATCCAGAGTTTGTTCCTATACCCATTTTATTCCATAATTAACTTGAATTTATTAAAAAGTTAAAGGATTTTTTTATAAAAAGATATCTTGCTGCATTTTGTACTTAGTTACAAAACAGATTAGCAGCTCTGATGAAACCAGCTAACTGGGAACATTGATTCAACTGTTTCAATCCAGGTATTGCCTTAGTTGCAGACTCACCACAAGTAGTGACGTCTTCAGCTTTGTAGTATTGCTAGAGATTGTAACAGGCGAACCTCCAATTGTGCCAACCACCGTGCACATTTTTGCAGCGTGTAAAGGAGAAGGTTACTACAGGAAATATTGAGGCAATTGTTGACCCACGACTTGATGGTGACTACGATGTAAGTTCAATCTGGAAGGTTGTGGACATAGCGCTGTTGTGCACAAAGGAAGCATCTGATGAAAGGCCAACAATGAGTATGGTGGTTGCACAACTAAAGGATGCCTTGGCATTGGAAGAAGCCCGTAATGTGAGTATCAGCGATATTAGCCAAAAGGGTGCCAATCTTGGCTTGTCGTTCAACTCGATGCCATCAGCAAGATGAAAGAGCATGCTCAAGTGGTTAAGTATGTCACATAGTTAAACTTTCTTATTGAGTGTATTAACTATTGTAATAAGCATGGAGTTGTGTCTTCCTTCTGGAATTACAATTACATTGCTACTTGATGAGTTGAGGAATGTATCAATGACTCGATGAGTTCCTATCCTGTGCTAATATATGACATTCTGGACCAGATCCAATCAAAGTTCTGAAATGTTGACTATCAACAAATTTTAAATATTTAATTTGAAACATAAAGATGGAATGTGCATATTTTTCTTGCAGTAACTTCATAATCTCATACTAGATTTTATAAACTTATCTTAGTAAAATATAATTATAGCCAAAGTCGTCGCACATCGAAGATCATAAACTATATACCGAGACCGAGTACCAAGGTTTTGCTTTGTTGGGTGATGTGTTAAGAGAACAATTTAGAATGAAATCAGCAAGCAAAGTAGTATCTCATTACCATGATTCCAGCTTCTGAAATGAGGAACTAACATCCTGCGCGTTCTTGCGTGACAACAGATCTGCCCAAACTGGCAAGCAGATCCAACGCCAGGAACAAACAACCTGGAAGGAATTAGTCCGGATGAATAATCCTGCGTTCCAAGGAACAAGTACACGCCCACAAAGAACATTCAGTACCCAAACATTTACCTCAAGAACGCTTGACCGTCGTTCGGATCGTATTACGGCGGTGGCTGCTCAAATCTCAAAGGGCGGCGCCTGCGATGGCGCGGTCGGAGCTCGTACGTGAGCGTGGTCGATCCAGGAAGTGGGTAGCATGCGGGGGGAGCAGTGCCGAAGGTGGAACTCGACCGAAGTCGCGCACGCGGTGGCGGCAGCGGCGGCGGCGGCGTCGGCGGCGGCAGGATAAGAGGTTGCGGCCGTCGAGCTCGTCGGACTTAAGCTGGGCCGTAACTGTGTTGCAACTTGATGTGTGGGCCAGCATATAATGTTTTGGGCCCTTTGTTATGGGCTAAACTATTATTATAGTTGGGCCGGAGCGAGATCGTGGGTGACGTGAGGACCCACTTGGAATAAGTTCGCTTTGTGACCCTCAAAAGTAATCGAAATCTAATTTGTAACCCTAAACCACAAAACCAGATATTTCGACCCCCAAACTTTCAAAACCGATGCAATTTGACTCCCTCGGCGGTTTTGGAAGGTGGTTTCATTGACGTGGCGCCTACGTGGCAGTATTGACTTGTCTCCTTTCCACGTGGTGTTGACGTGGCGTTTAGGTGGCATTAGAAATAAAAAATATGTGTGAGACCCATTTGTCATTTATCAAAAGTATATGTGGGTCCCACTAGCTAGCTCGATCAATATAAAGAGCAAACCATGCATTCATCAAATCACATCGGATTACCACACTAATCACGATTAGAGTAACAAAACTCACGTTGATACACGATACACCATGTCGCCGCAGGCCAAATCCAAAGGCAAACCGCTTCTCTTGGTGGTCATCTCCTTCCTCTCCGTGTTGCCATGGCACGCTAGCAAGCGGCGGCGGCAAGCCCCTCGTCACTGGCATCACCAAGGACGGCGCCACCAAGCTCTACACCATCGTCGTCAAGGACGGCCACCCCCTCGCCCTCGACCTCTCTGGCGAGCTCGTCTGGTCGACCTGTGACGCCTCCCGCTCCACCGTCCTTCCCTACGAGTGCGAGTGCGTGGAAATCATCCTCTCTTCATCTTTATGGGGCCCACATAAAGCAAGGAGACGGGGAGGAGGAGGAGGAAGGGCGGGGTCGAGCCATGGCTGGTCCATCAACTTCGGTATCTGCCGCCCCAATCTCTTCCTCCACTGGCTCCTCCGGTCCTCCTCGCGCGCCAATTTGTATCGCCACCGCCGGCCAGCTCTCGAGATCATCGTCCTGGCTACGGCTGGCGTGACCGAGGAAGAGGAGGAGACGACGAAGCCGGCAATGGCCTTACTGAGACTCAGCGACGTCTAGGCCGGCGCCAAACGGTGGCTGGAGTGCGTGATGGCGATGGAGCGAGCGTGGCGCTTGAGCGGCACGTGGATGGGAAAGTGCAGGTCTCGGGGATTCTCTTTATGTAGGCCGGAGGGGAGAAGGTCGACCGCACGGAAGGAAAACGGCGCCGGCGACGGTGGAGCTCCCTATTGAAGACACCGGTTTAAGAAATCGATTGAGGGCGATTTAGTGCGGGATTAAACGGGATTTGTTGGGGAAATTGATGCCCACTACACAAGGAACTGATTTTTGCAATTAATTTGGAGGAGAAACGATAGGGCAGGGAGATCAATGGAGGCGGCAGTGCTTGAGTTTCACGGGAGAGATGAACAGACCACGGACAGAGGTGGAAGAAGCTCCTGGCGAGCGGGGCCCACCTACTAGCGAACGGAAGAGAAAGAGAGGGGGAGGATGAGGAGATAATCATTTATGTGGGCTCCTCCCATACTTTTGGTGAATGACAATTGGGTCCCATGCATATTTTTTATTTCTAATGCCACCAAAGCGCCACGTCAATCCCACGTGGAAAAGAGACCGAGTCAATACTGCCATGTAGGCGCCACGTCAGTGAAACCGCCCTCCAAAACCGCCGAAGGAGTCAAATTACACCGGTTTTGAGAGTTGGGTGGTCGAGATATCCGGTTTTGTGGTTTAGGGTCATGAATTAGATTTCGGTCACTATTGAGGGTCACGAAGTGAACTTATTCCGACCCACTTTTGTTGGGTCGGATCAGTACAGCCGCTGCGTGCGGGCCCTTTACAGATGGGCTAGCTGACGTCCGGGCCGTTTATGGGCCGGATTAGACTGTTGAAAGTAGTAAGAAAAATGTTCATTCTAATCCCGAAGTATCGTTCTACAATCTACACCCCAAACCATTGTAAATTGAGTCTCTTAGAGATACCAAGGTAATTTTCCGTCCCAATCGGGAATGCTTCCGTCAAGGAGTGGGTTATTACTTATCAGTTAAGGGGTTCGAACCTATATAAAAATTCATGTCCCTTATTACCTGTCAGTTAAAGGGTCCGAATCTATGTAAAAATTCATACCCCTTATTATCTGTTAGTTAAGAGGTCCGAACCTGTGTAAAAATTCATGACCCTTATTACCTGTCAGTTAAGAGGTCTGAACCTGTGTAAAAATTCATGCCTCCATCTCTTTTATCTCAATATCGCGTATACCATGGTTCCTATGATTCTCATACTCTATAAATCCTACCTGTTGGTATAACCCATTGACAAATGCATTGTCTAATGCAATGTAAATCATATTTGCTACTAGCGGTTTTATAACTAGTAGTTTCACTTCCATAACCACTTCTTGAGGGTTCTGGTTCTATGATTCTCATACTCTATAAATGCTATCTGTTGATATAACCCATCGACAAATGCATTATCTAATGCAATGTAAATCATATTTGCTAGGAGCGATTTCATAACTAGTACTCCCTCCGGTCTCAATTTTATTGACGTTTTGGACAGGATTTCAAATACAAGAAGTAATTAATTAGGATGCATATTCCTGTTTTACCCTTATTAAATGCTTAAGCATGGCATTGTCAATCAATACTTTGGTGCTCTACACTGCTTTGCCGCTGAAGACGAAGCGCCAGCCCAGCAACCATCTTAATGCGATTTGCATGCATGAAGGGGTAAATTAGTCCAACCTAACCATGAGAAGGCCAAAACGTCAACTTTTCACATCCAAACGCTCCAAAGCTATAACGTCAATAAAACTGAGACCGGAGGGAGTAGTTTCACTTCCATAACCAATTCTTGAGGGTTCTGGTCCTATAATTCTCATACTCTATAAATCCTACCTGTTGATATAACCCATCAACAAATGCATTGTCTAATGCAATGTAAATCATATTTGCTAGGAGTGGTTTCATAACTAGTAGTTTCACTTCCATAACCGATTCTTGAGTGTTCTGGAACGTGTGTAACTTCTCCAATTGATGGTTTACGCAGCAACGATGTTGCTTTATCCAACAACGATGATGGTTTGCATAATTGGTTGTTGAGTATGCGTAACTACTTCTTCAATACGTGTATATGTTTTAGCACTCTGGAGAAATGATCTTTTACACTGGTTGTAACCCCCCTAGTATCGGTTGTAGCAACCGTGACCAACGAATCGAGATTTCTATCTTTAGTACCGCCCTAGTACCGGTTGTAGCAACCGTGACCAATGAATCGAGACAAAAAATTTCTATATATAGTACCAGTTAAATAAACGGTGGGGGATAGGGATTCGAATTCAAGACCTCTCACCTCAACCCTCACGCGCATAACCATCCCACCAACTGCACACATATGACTTGGATAGAGATGATTTCTTTCTGAACTAACCCTTGAGGTATCTTTAGTACTGGTTGGAAGTCCTGGTTGGTGTTTACCTGGTACTAAAAACTAGATTTTTAGTCTGGGTTAGTGTTACCATCCGAAACTAAAGATCCTTCATCATTTAGTCTTGGTTGGTGTTTTAGTACCGGTTGGTAACACCAACCGAAATTAAAGATATTTTTGGGACTTGGACTTTTAGAACCGGTATTAAAAATATCTTTAATACCGACTCTTAATCTAATTGGGATATTTATGAGATATTTATGTTTTTTTGTACCACGATAAAAGATCAATTCTTCAGTAGTGTAAGCTATAATAATACTCCCTCCATTTCATAATATAAGGCACAACCACTTTTTCTACATGTTCCATAATATAAGGCATGCATGCATATAGGCAATTAACTATGATCCCTTTTTCATTAAATTATTACATTTTTAAATCCCCCACTCTCATGTTCTCTAATTCTGTTGGATACATGTATTGTATTTATTAGAATGATCCAAACTACAAGATGGTAATAATTATTTTCTTGATCTTTGGGTTAGGGGTGGTTATGCCTTATATTTTGGAATGGAGGGAGGACAAGTCAAGTATCGACTTTGTTGTGCTAGTGTGACTGCCATTATTTCTATTTTAGTTTTGACCAGCTCCCTGGTCATTTTTTCATCCTCATTTCTTGGGTGTCTGTCTTTGGCCTTGGCATTCAGTGGTCCTTTCTCTGTGGCTTCCTTCTAGAACGTTGAACCAACTGTCAAATTGATGTCATGATGCAAGCAATCTATGGCCTCAGCCTTCAGCGGCCTCCCTCCTCTAGGCTTACTTCCTCCAAAAGGGCATCAACGGGTATTGAGAGACAAGTATCACATGACAAAGTCTGGCTTGATGTGGGGTGGCTACTGACATCATGTTAATAATGGTTGAGCATGCAATTTTTGCTGGCTAAGTTATTAATTTTGCAAAATGATAAACAATTTCTTTATGGCCGAGAAGAAGAACAATTGAATGTTGTCATGTAAAAATAAGATAAAAAACAATGGAAAACGATACAAACATTCTAATATACGCTACAAAATAAGTAAGCATTATTATTCCACAAGAGGATGCAAGCTCATATACATATTGTTGTTTATAAAAATACAAAAAAAAGTACATAGCAAAGGACACTTGAACATTTAAATACCGTGTCTTAATATGACAAACACTTTACCAAAACACGCTGAACCGTTGTATACTTGCAGTTGTACCATTATCTAAAAAAAATGCACCTGTACCGTTTCTTTACTCATCTTGCCGATGGACCAAATTTTGACAACACATCCATGGCATCACTAACTGAGCTTGTCGTGATGTCCCTGCTGTCACGGGCTTCCTCCAGTGCCAAGCTCTCCTTCAGCTGTAGAACCACGGTGGACATTGTTGGCCTTTGAGTAGCAACCTCTGATATGCAGAGCATTGCAGTATCAACCACCTTCCACATGGAGCTAATGTCGTACAAATCTTTGAGTCGTGCATCGGCAACCAAGCTGATATTACCAGATGCAACTTTCTGTTTCACACGCTGAATGATGTGGCCACTGCCAGGTAGTATTGGAGGTTCACCGGTGGCTACCTCTAGTAGAACAACACCGAAGCTATAAACATCACTGCTCTCTGTCAGCCTTCCAGTATGATAGTACCTAAAAATGCATGTAGTGTATTAATAAAACTAAGGATAGCTTGAAGAGATTAAGATAAAAATGTGTTTGAAAACATGACAATCAATTTATGAGTTTTCTTTCAAACATGCTAAACTTATAAAATTAAATCAAGTTGTTTATGATTTACTCATTCAAATTGATGCAAATTAAATAAGTAAAATGTTAATGGGATGGACAGAAAAGCATACTCGGGGTCGATGTAACCCATTGTTCCAGCGGCATTACTGGTTGATATGTGAGTCTGTGTCTCGCTAATATAAGTTTTAGAAAGCCCAAAGTCTGCGATTTTAGCTTTTAGATTTTCACCCAAGAGTACATTATTGGTCTTCACATCCCCGTGAATTATTGGCAAGTTGCAACCTTTGTGCAGATACTCCAGACCTATATTTATAGTGTACCAAATCACAAAACTCTATAATGAGAAAAAGAGTGGCACTAGCTCAAAAAGAAAACAAATAAAAAAAAGAGTGGCATGAGCTATAATATTCCTTAAGAGAAATAATTATCTTTGTGTTTTGTTTTAAGCATACCTTGTGCAGCATCAAGCACAACTCGCACACGGGTTACCCAGTTAAAGGTATCACCAACACCAAATTTACCTTCATATAAGAACATTGACTGTAAAAATAGACCTTTACCAAGTATTTCAGTTCAAGTGTGGAATGAGCAAATTTATGCAAACTGCACAAACTAATCAAAATTGAACCATCAAATTGTCAAAATGCAATGAGTTCTTGTAAATATAGAGCCATTGGGTAAACACTGCCGAGAAGATAGTCAGACAGTGTTGGCTTTGTTGGGATGAGGGGAGAATCTAGGTTGTGGAGAACTTGACTAGAGTTTGATATTCTTCATTGCTTACCCAGATAGAGATACAAACACTGCACAATTATTTCATATATGCAATTTTAAAAACAGACGGAGGATGGTGACACTTTATTCTCAAGCAACACATAAGTTTGTAACAGACAAACCTCTTAGATGATCACAAAGATTGCCTCTAGCCATGTACTCATAAGCCAGTGCTAAGTGATCCTTTTCCCAGCAATAACCAACCAAAGAAACTAGATTTTTGTGATGCACCTTTGTCAAGCTCTGAACCTATGTCATGAGATACAAAATATACGGTCAATCTAATAATCTCTCTATTTGAATGTAGTCTTAGTTTGAATGAAAGTCACTAAGTTTACATTTACATGTGTGCCATCTAAAATTTGGAAATATATTCTTAACGTTTTTTTCCAAGTTGTGTGGAATCTACTATTGTTAATTTTTATTAATCAAATAGAGTTATTTATTTACAAGTATATTTAATTTTTCAGTAACTAAAATTTGATACCTCGGCTAAAAACTGATCAAGGCCATTCTCCGAGAATTCAGAGAGCATTTTGACAGCAACCTCGGTTTTGTTTTCTAAACAGCCGTAATAGACATTCCCAAAGCCTCCTCGTCCAATGAACTGTTGGAAGTTATTAGTAAACTTCTTTAGCTCCTCGTATGTGAATTGCCGACTTTCAGTTATTTGCAGAGGATCAAAAGGATTTGTTTTCCTTTCTGGCGAAGTCTTGATATCTGGTACTTGAGGAGGAACATACGTAGGAACTGGTTGTGCAAAAAGCCAGTTATATAACAGAAATAACTTAATAACCAAGATATTTCAGTAGAGCTTATAAGAGGAGAAGAGCATACGCACTATTGGGTTTTCTCTTCACTCTCCAGATCATATATGCAAGAACAAGTAGAGCCACTACCAGCACAGGCACCACTACTGAAATAGCTAAGATACCCGTTCTGTTTCTTGATGGAGACGAACCTATTGTTTTGTTGCACATATTTCCATCAGATCCATAACTGTAATAATTATATAAAACCAACAGTTCAGGGTTTGTTTTAGCAACATACCTGGATCAAAATATTAATTAGCAAAAGTTAACAAGACTACCCAAACCTGAAAACGAATTGTCCTGCATTGTTTTTACAGAGAGAGTCTGGAATGGGCCCATTCAGTTGGTTGCCTGATAAATTTCTGTGAAAAGTGACATGAAATTTAGATATTTAACAAAGTCCTTTCTCAGTAACAACAAAAAAATATCTTTTCAAATTCTCTAGTCCCCATTAATGTCAAATGGAATTCCATATATAGCTAAACGAATGTGGATGGATTTGATGAAAATGTCGCTACTTACAATTTCTCGAGTGCAGTAAGCAATGTGAAGTTATTAGATATCACCCCAAAAAGGTTGCTGTTGGAGAGATCACTGCAAAAAAAAAAAAAGTAATCCAACATAAGGCAAAAGGTGCCAACTATACACAATTGTAATGCATCTAGGATCTTCGGAGTACTACTCACATCGATATTATCCTCATAATGTTACCACTGGTGTTCCTGCATTTGATGCCGTCCCAAGCAAATTCAGGTGGAAAACATGGATCACCCATCCAGTTCTTCTTTACCCCATACTCGAGTTTAATAGCCATGATTGTATCAACTAGCATAGGAAAAGGAAGGTACAGAGTTTATTAAATGATTAAAGGCACCATATACTCTCAGGGTGCATTCTAACTAGGTGACTATAGATATGGGCAGAGGAAAAAATTGCTCATATGGATGAATCAAATATTATAAGGTGAAAATATAACTAAAGAAAGTTATCTTGTAGTTGATGTAGAAAGTTTCTTCTTCTTGTTTTTTTTTTTTTGAGAAATCGTACTTTCAAAAACATGGCATGAACAATCCATGTCTCCATTAACTGTTAGAACTTCCCTAGTGTCTTAGACTTTTGTTGAGACAAAAATGCCTGATTCAAGAAAGAATTCTCAGTTCGATCGAAGCAGACAACAGTGGGATAATTGTCCACTCCCTCCCTTGATCTTTTTAAGCCCAATGGACACCAACATGTGGGAAGTGGGATCCACTAAGGGTGTGTTTAGTTCATGTCAAAATTAGAAGCTTGGTTGAAATTGGAACGATGTGATGGAAAAGTTGGAAGTTTGTGTGTGTAGGAAAGTTTTGATGTGATGGAAAAATTGAAAGTTTGAAGAAAAAGTTTGGAACTAAACTCGGCCTAAGGCACTGACCAGAGAGCCAACCTTACCGTTAATTTGATCGAATACCTCGAATGCGCACAAGCCAGGCAGCGGCTAGGAGAAGGTGAGAAGTTGCAGGAGGCAAGTCCTGCCCAAGTAGTGTTCACGGGTTCATATCCTCTACCATAATAACACTATTATTATAGTAATTGATATGTGGGGTAATAGAAGGGTGGGACCCATATATCAGTGACTATAATGATAATGATACTAACGTTATGATAGAGAATCCTCACACAGTGTGTAGGAGATTAACTAACCAAGTCAATCTAAAAAAAAAAACTAACCAAGTCAGGTGAGGGGTTCTGCTGCTCAAGCAATGGTGCCCCTGCTTCCACCCGGTGATGCCATTTGGGCTGCTGGCGATGTAGGCATTATTATTCATCACCTTCACTACTATGTTGGAAATTCATCCGGACCGTATGCACTAATTGATTTGTACAGACGATTCTCTAAAATGTCTGCTGATTAATTCAGGCGATTCTCTGTAAAGTAAGCTTGTGGAAACCTTTCTGTTATCCTTTAAAACTGTCCAAACTAAATTCATTTTAAATTCGATTGACGTAAATCAAAGTTCTCTTGGACCCTTACAATGCTTTTTTTTTTCATATTATGAGATCAATATTTCCTTGGAATATTTTCTTTAATATGATCATTCACTAATCTTAATATGCATATATACCACCACATTTAAACAATTCTAAAAATATTGATCTGACCATATTAAAGGAAATATTGTAAGCTTTGGTTCACCTCAATTGGACTTAAAATGAAATCTTTCAATTTTGATAGTTTGAGTATTTACACAGAAAATATTATGAGGAAAAATATTTCCGTAGGCAGACTTCCTAAAGATCTGTCTGCACTAATTGATTATTTGCAAGCGGTTTCTTAAGCAAATCACCTTTAAAAATCATCCTATTCTCATAGAAAGTTTTCTTCAGGATCATCTCCAAAAATAATGATTTTCATATGCAGTTTTCTTGTCTCCACAGGCATTTTTTTTAAAAGAACTGTATGCAGATATAGGTTTTCACATGTCGTCCATGACCATAAAGAAGCCTCAGCCATGGCGGCTTGAAATTTGAGCCGCCTATGGAAAGGAAAGCTTCTAGCAGTGAAAAATATTAATATAGTAGTGCAAACTGCCATGTATGTTTTCCTTTTTCTTATAGGTGCTTTTCATAAACAGTCATGGCTCCTTTGGAAGGCAGGACTCTAAAAACATGCAAACATGAAAATGCATGAAGAGGATGTCATGTTCAACACAATCCTACAGGGTTCCAAAGCATACTAGAATTGGTGTGTTTGGATGGTTCGCGAGAAATCAAAACATGGGAATTCTAAAGAAAATTGTTTGTGCTAGAGAGAAATTAGAGGGAGAAAGGAAGAGAGTGCATTGGGCTTCTCAAAGGTTAAAAAAAAAGCATGAGGTATGAGCTTATGTTTATTTTCCTACAGGATGGGGGCATAGGAAATCAATCCATAGGAATTCTGAGATACCAGTTCCTTTGATCCAAATGGCCTCGTAGGAAAAATTTTCTAAGGATTTCAATCCTCCACAAATCCTTCAAAAATCCAAAGGGCCCTCAACCTGTGTTAATTATTGTTGATCTAACAGTGACACTTCGGCAGAATGGCATTTTTAGTCTTCGTTACAAAACTAATGGCATTATAGTAATTTTAACAAAAGAAATGGCTGATTGAGAAATAGTGACATCTTCATCACCAAACTAACGGCATTATAGTAATTTTAAAAAATCAATAGCATATTGACAGATATGTCAATAGGTGAAACCCTTCTATAGCATACATGCGTTTAACCCATATTTTGGAGCAATGTTGGTGCACATTTAGTGCGAGAGAGCGTAATTGAGTGAGCTTACAGTCTTTGGAGAACGTTGTCGTGCCGTCGTAGGTGATGAGGAAGTAGATCTCGAAAGCATTGAGCATAGGGGGCAACGCAGAGTTGGCAGTGGCGGCAAGAGTAATATTATACTCACCAGCAATGGCCCTGAACAAGGGTGTGTACACGCTACTGGATAACAAGTAATGTGGGGTGTAATTGTACACTACCTGGTTGGCATCAGGGTAAGCATCAAACTCCCGGAGTTTGCTGCTCTGGAAGTCGGCAAAATGCAGGTACACCACATACTCTTTGGCCGTTGTGTCTTGCCAGCTTATGACGTTAAGCACCGTACTGTTTCCGGATGGTGTAACGGCCGTTTGGAGAACACTCGAGGGCACCGCAAATGTGGATCCAGTCTTAATGGTTGACGTGGTTGAAAGGTTGGCCCATGCGGGGTCAGCATTCATTGGCCACCAGTACCGGTCATATGGGTCGTCAGGATACCTATATTTAAGAAATTAAAACAAATCATATATACGCAGCGTTTTGTCCTTAGTGTTTAATTTAGAGATCGAACATCCTCCTCAATATATCTTCGTAATTATTTTGTTGTAGCAAAAAATGCTCAAGATTCAGCCTCTAAAGACAACAAATTAAATGCTTTGTTTTCTCTGCATATATGTAGTTGAATTCGTATGTGTAGGTACTAAAATATTTTATCTTTATAGACTTTATTATTTTCTATAAGGAATTGAATTACCATGGACATACGTACACTGCACTCTTTCAATGTACATTATTCTTTATCATAGTTTTACGGAGTACTTTTTACCTGTGTATTTCTTCTACTAGATATATCTAAGTGCCAATTTCAGTTAAATTTGTATTTCCTGCACCACAGTCCACGGAAGCTACAGTACTAGGAAAATCATTTTCCCAGGTGGCCAAAAATAGTTTTCTTAGGCGGGGAAAGAGCCGCATATAAACAAAGGCCTACGAAAATAGATGATTTTCGCAGACGGCATCTCCATCTTCATAGGCGGTAGATCCACCAGCCTACGAAAATAATTTCGCGAAGAAAAAAAAATTCGTCGCCACCACCCCTACCTGCCACCGCCGGCGGCGGTGGACGGATCTGGGAGGAAGGGAGGGAGAGGGTTGGAGCACAGTTGCTGCCTCCCCTCCTCGTCGTCAAGCCATTGCTAGCCCTCCTCATCGCCGCCGTTGCCAGGCTGGTAGAGGAAGGAGCCGAGCCGCCACATCCCCTCCCCTCCCCTCACCTCCTCGCGTCGCCGCTACCTTCCCTCCCCGAGACCGGCCGGTGGCGGATCCAGAAGGCGTCGTCATCGTCGTCGCGATCTCCTCGTCGTTGAGTCGCCGCCGTCGCCAGGAGAGGGAGGAGCTGAGCCGCCACCTTCCCTCCCCTCCTCGTCACGGGCGATGCCTCCCCTCCTCGTCGTTGAGCTGCCGCCGTCACCGGGAAAGGGAGACCGTCACGCGACCCGCATCTACCGGGAAGGAAGAGAGAGAGAGGGGGAGGAGGAAAATGATTGGTGGAGAGGGTAAGGATGGTGTAGGAGAAGATAAAGATGGGACTTACATATTTTTTCTGTAGGCATGATTTTTGCAGGAGGACCACACAAGGTGCCGCCTAAGAAAATCATATTTTTCCAAGCGGACATCTTAAGATTCTTAAAGGTATTTTCACAGACGGACCTCTTAAGTGGTTCGCTTGTAAAAATATATTCATGCGGATGGCTAGCTCCACCCCGGTTTACAATGTCGCAGGCGGCCATTTGGCTCCGAGGACCATACCCGTCTGGAAAAAAATTTCACGTCTGCGAAAAATGTTTTTTCTAGTAGTACTACTAAAGTTAATCCTACACATATTCTGAGAAAACCGGCTAATTAACAATCGTTAAAAAAAAAAGATAGAAAGTTGTCGTTGACTCCGAACATACCGTATGAAATTGTTTGCCGCCATATTACGCCGTCGAAGCATGGCCAAGGACTGGTTGGCCATGACAGCCGGGTAGAGCGAATCCACGAGCGGCCTCAGCTCCACCGTGGACACGAACGGCGTGCCGCTGCCGGTGTTGACGAGGCACACGGGCGCCCAGCTCGCCCACGCCACGAACACCGCCTCGTGCACCTCGCCGCCGCTGCCGGTGCCGCCCTGCACGGTGGTCCAACGGCTCAGCCCGAGGTACAGGTCGAACCTGAGCGCCGCCGCCGCCGCGGACGAGGAGGAGGAGGAGATGTTCTTGCCGTCGTAGTTGCCGTAGACGAACACCAGCCGGACCAGGTACTTGGACCCGGCGGCGGTGGGGAGCGTGTAGCAGTTCCGTACGCCGGAGGGGAAGCTCCGGAGCGTCTGGTCTGGGCGCTGGAAGCTGGACGCGTACTCCGCCGCCACCTTGTGGTTCTCCCCGCCGTCGACGTACGGACCGTCGGGCACGTACAAGATCCTGTTGTCGTCCTGGTAGCTGCTGTTGGCCTCCAGGCCGCAGTCGATGCTCAGGTATCCTGCAAGGTAGGTTACACGCCGCAAGTTAAGGAAATAAGAAACTACTCTCTCGTATCAGAATATAAACATCTTTAAAGTTGGATACGGTTATTAAAAAAGAGATATGTAGAATTGAATAGGGAGGGTTGTGATTGGATGAGAAATGAAGGTATGCGAGAAATTTGAATGATAGAGGATTATGATGGGTTGAAAAGAGAATGTTGGTGCAGAAGTTGTTATATTTTGAGATAAATCCTAGATGCTAGAAGTTATTATATTTTGGGACGGAGGGAATAAATGATACCCCTACATCCCAAATATAAGCATTAATTTTTAGAATAGTGACAGGTTAAATATTTTTAACTTGGGCTATAAATAGAAATAGAATAAAAAATAGCAATCATGTAAAATTAATGTTACTAGATTTATCATTGAACAAACTATCATAATATGCAACTTTTTTAATTTAAAATATCTTATTTATATAGATATTATTGCTCAAAGTAGCATCTCGTAGATTGTATCAATGTGTAAAAATACTTATATTTTAGGATGGAGGGAGTATATCCTTTTTTAAGATAATACTTGTAAGGGCAGTGGCTCTATAGTGGCGGAGTTACCGCCCGGTTAGCCCGGGCAGCGCTCGGGCTCGCCGGTGAAAACTTCATTAAATTTTAATATTGATGTTTAAATTGATAATGAATTTTTATAGCAAATACTCCTACTAGTATATTGAAATTTGTTCGGGCTCAAAAATATCTCTGTCTTCGCCACTGGGGTAAGGATATGCTTTGCAATTGCTTGGGGTAATAAGTGTTGTTCACTATTTTATTGATTATCCATGTAAATAGATAGGGGTTGAGAATGAAGATCAACAAGAAACCAAGTGATGATTTTTAACTAACTACTTGATTCTTTTAGTCGGTTCTTTCAGTTTATTCAGAAAACCAATCGATATTTTAAAAGAAGCTAGTGATACGGGTGAGTGGTGAATTTTGTCACCACTCCGCACCACTAACTCCTTGCTTCTTTTTGTCAAGAAAAAAAATATAGTTTGGGGGCAAAGGCCCACCAATCAGTTAAAGACTATATGTAGAAAAGAAATAAGAGATGGTATATACTGGTGTAAACTAGAAGGATTAATGCATGATAATATTACTTTTTAAAATAAAAATTCCGCTGCAAACGCTCCGAAAATATATATAAGCTTGTAAAAATAAAAGAAACCTTGCTGGCTGACGGCAGGAACGACCGCCGTTGCTAAGACGAGTACGGCGAAGAAAGCCAAGAACTCCATTGCATCGACCACAAGTACATATGTTGAGAGACTCGCGTATATTTATAGAGTACTAAGTACACGACCAGCCTTGGAAGGGCTCCTGATGGAGTTGACATTGGTATCAATTTGCTTTATCAGAATAATAAGGAACAAACACAAGTGCATTGCTTCAAAAATGTATCCCAACTCAACACCGTACCGGGCCGTTTTTGGTCAAACGAAGGTTTCGAATTTCGATGTGCTGGTCTTTGCATTGGCAGCGCACAAAAAGGGTTAAATAATACGAATGTGTAGAATGCACTCATCCAAGAATAGCACATGTGCGCGGCTGTCAAAAAGAAACGATTCGAAAAGTATCAAATCCAGCTCCAAATCGGCAACACGGGGAAACAAATAGGTATTTCTGAAAGTCTACTCCATAATGCACTAGTGAAAAGCACACTAATTTGTCCCAACATGCAATCGTTCTCTGTACATAATTTATAATAGCTTGCTCACATGTTACGAAATCATTTCAACTTTCAACTTGACTTTTTGAATGTGCAGTACCGATCTGTCCGATCGATCTGGCAGGTTAAATACTATAATGGTTATGAATCGCAACGTTCAGTGCACTGATCTTTTACTCCCCCGTCCTAAGATATAAAAACTTTTAACCTATAGGATTTGTCCCAAAATATAATAATTTCTCCACCAACATTCTTTTCCCAACTAATCACAACCCTCCACTATTCACTTTTCCTACCTACCTCCACTACTCATCCAATCAAAACCCTCCAACACTCACTTCTACCTACTTTCTTAATAACCGTGTCCAATCCTAAAACTTCAGGCCTATTTGGTACAGCTCCAACTCCTAAATTTAGCTTCAGGAGTTGGGTCTGGAGTGGAGTTGTGGAGCTACCTATACCCAGCTCTACAACTCTAGTTCGTCTTGTGAGAGAGCTCCACCCAGCTCCACTCCCAGTTTTGGTGGAGCTGAAACAGTTTGGCTGAGCTCTAGCTCCAGGAGGGCTGGAGCTGGAGCTGTGCCAAACAGGCCCTTCTTATATTCTTGATGGACGGAGTACAATTTTTTCATGCTGGCATTGCTATTTCGGGCACACACATAGCTTGGTTAATTAATTTCAAGTAAGATGAAAATTCAACCGGGTTTCAACCGATTAGAGCAGGCTTGATTAGGTAAGTGACCTTGATATTTGATAGAATTAAAAAGATTAATTTTAAAATAAAGTTATGAAAAATTCAAACTAATCCTCTCAATAATATGATCATGTTAATACTATGTGGCATTAAAATTTGCTTAATTCAGTTATGCGAATTTTGGAACTTAAAAATAACATAATGATCAAAGAAGTAAAATAATAATATTCCATTATATTTTGATGTCATTAGATATTAAGTTATTGATGTTATGGATATTATAGTATTATCTATTCATTATTTTATTTATCGACATTATAAATTTACAAAATTGTCTAGTTGATGGCATGGCAACTTGAGCTTGAACACTTCGATTGTTTTTATAGTATTTCCAATTGTATAGATTTGTTACATTATTGCCAACTGTATTGAAAATAGAGTTGCCGTAGTTTTCCCTAATTTTACACTTTTTTCTTTATTATTCCATATTCTGCCACCTTTTTTTTTTTTTTATTTTTCACAAAACCACTTGGTTCGTTTTTTTTAAGGGATCAATTTTTTTTAAAAAAAGTTGATCAGTTTTTAACTGAATCAATCTAAACTTGCTCGAAATCAACTCATGGAGTTCAAATTATGATTTGCAAATTGCTCGAAATCGGGTGCCACTCCCAGCCTCCATTAGCACACATAAGTGTACCAGAGAGCTTTACGTGCAAGCTATATGCAATTAGAAAACAAGTCTACGTGCAATTACTAGATGAATGAACTAGGGTTGGTTAGGTTGGTTCAAGTCATTTTAGCCAACTTCAAACTATTTTTTCTCGTAAATTATTTCTTCAATCTACGAACCGATTAAACCATTAAATTTATTGCAATAAAATATTTACATTAAAATGACAAGATTATATTTTGACAAAAAAAATATTTAGCTTTTATTAATATATTCCTTTTAAATGTTGCATGTAGTTTTATTTGGATATTTCAGTTAGTATTTTAGTGATGTTTGACTACTTAATTTGTAAATGTTGTACGTGGTGGTGTTCTTTGAATGTTTTAGCAAATATTTTATAATGTTTCAATAATTACAGTCTGATGCTCATACATGATATATAAATGTTTCAACAATATCAAGTTTTTATAAATATATTGTGCCTTTCATATGATTTTTTTTATGTTTCACCCATAATGACTCGATGTTTCGTCCAGTGGTTGATGGTGTTGCCATCAATATATTTTGAATGTTACATCTCTCTAAAATATTTTATGTAGTGAATTATATTATAATCGTCCAAACAATGTTGTGCTTTTTGCCAGTTAAAAACCTTTTATGGTGCCAAATATTTAGTTCATGGATCGTATACCCGGCTCAAAGTAGTTTATAAGAAAAATGTTAGTTTCAACACTAAACTAGAAATATCTACATCACTAAACTAGTTTCAATAAATCTAACATTGAATATAGTTTCATGGTATGTTAGTTTTGTGTTAAAAATGTTGTTATGTTATTTCCACAAAGTTGGTCAAATTTAAAAGAAGTTTGACTAGAAAAAAAATCAAAGCATCTTATAATATAAAACAGAAGAAATAGTGGACAAGGGAAGCGCCACAGTAAATTGGTATCAAACAATGATGAGGGATTGAGGTTAATACCCTTGTACGATTGTTGAAATGATCCGGTACACATAAAAAAAGTTACTACTCAGATTTTTTTTCTTCAAAAAAATCAAATGATTGAGAAATAGCAAACACTAATGGTTGGGCCTATTACGTGGGTGGGCTCGCGCTACTACCCGCAAGCGATCGCCTTGAATTTCAAACCAACAAAAAACTACGTTTAAAAACAGAAAAAAAAATACTAACCAAGGGAAAAGAAATCTAATGTACTCAGAAATACTTTTACATATAAATTTGCCTATGTACAAACTTTATATTAAAAATATATATGTTTCAAACTTTATGCACGTAAAATTTATATATATAAATATTTTGTATAAAAATATTTGAATATGGATCGAATATGAATCGGGCATATAAACTTTCGACTTATAAAGTTGAAGTGTATACAGTTTTGGCTATAAAGTTTAGGCAAAATTTGCTACAGAACACTCGAATTTTTTGTAATTTGCTGGTAGGCATCATAAAAATGTGTCACGGTGAAAAGACACTCTAAAAAATTGGTAATTTACTAGAGGATACTTTTGGCTCAATTGGAGAGAGAAATTCTTCAAGAAGACAAGAATGCTCCTAGGGTCAAAAGCTTTTGAGCTAAGATTGGAGCGACGATGGAATATAATATATGCTAATGATGTACTTAGGGTTATGGCAAATTTAGAGTTGCATAATTTCTGTTTTTTTTACTCTAACGTCATGATTGAAGCACGTGGTCTTAGGGGCCTTCTTGTCGTTCTTAAGAAATTCTCTTTCCAATTAAGCTGAAAGTGTCCTCCAGCAAATTACTAGTTTTTAGAGTGTCTTTCAGTTGCAACATGTGCTTTCGTTGTCTATTAGCAAATTGCACAAATTTTGGATATCCTGTAGCAAAATTTGCCTAAAGTTTATACCTTTGTGCGTATGTATAAATTTGAAGCACAATTGAAAAAAAAATGAAACCTGTACATGTGCTCCTTTTGGCTACTTAAAGAAGGATAAAAGAGAAATTTGGATTTGTGCTTCTCACATTTAGTAAAAGCCCAAAACAAAAGAAGGCCCACATGTCAAACTAAAAAGGATGCTTCTGACACGGGAAAAGCACCTCACGGACAAAAGGATGCTTCTGCCACTTCTGTTGCCAAGCCGAGCACCGCCGTGTCCTCCAGCGTCACCGTCACCCCTTCTCCCTGCCGCTCGTCAGCCGTCGCGCCTAGAGGGGAAAGAGGAGAAGATAGACGAATAGGGTACAGTGGCGGACGCAGGATTTCAACGATGGGGGTATGAAGTTACAGACTACGGATTATGTACATAGTGCTAAGGAAACTAGTTCAACGTTAAAAATAAACTCAAACCACTAATGAACACTCAATCCAAGCGCAAGCGTGCATATATTAAGGCAAAGTATATCTCAATCCCATACATAACTTGCAGTGAATGTTTTGTAGTGAATAATGAACAAAAATAGTACATAAGACACAACTGACCAGTGCGATTGTACGGATGAACCACCCATAAAGATTTGATCCAATATAGAGGAAGAAAATACCGTTAAATGATACCCATCAGCAGCATATATTATACTTATAAGATAGTGTGCTATATAAAGAAAACATAAATGTAGTTATTCACAGTTGCAAAAAAAATAATTCAAGTATAGAGCCAATATTTCCAAGTTCAAAATACTTACTTGTTGTCCATGTTCTGAAAAATCAACACAAGTTGTTACTGCTTGACTCTACGAGCCTTTATTGATTGGAAATGACATATTATGTCTTCATCAGGAACTTGTTGAAAGATATCTCGTTTAAGAAATGTTACCAAGCAATCATTCAAGTATTCATTTCCCATTCTATTTCTTAGCTTGTTCTTGACATAATTCATTGTGGAGAATACTCTTTCAACACTTGTAGTTGCTACAGGAATGACTAGCACCAATTTCAGTAGCTCGTAGACAAGTGTGTAATTGATATGCTTATTTGTATCAACAAGCTGGACCGAAAGTTCAGCAATGGTGTTCACTTCTCTAAACCTTTCATCTCTATGCATATCAATAATAAAGCAATCAAGCTGAATAGGTAGGTGCATGATGTCATTGGCTGAAAAGTCATTGGGATAGAATTGTGCAAGTTTAACCAACATTTCCTTGTCAAAAGAACCAAATGAATTAGTGCGATTGAATGAAGCCATGCAAACAAGTAAATCTGTGTCTACCTCATCAAATCTGTCATTTAGTTC